AAAACATCTCCGTAAGTGAAGGGTGCACACAGGAACCCTTCTCCTATTTCTGCAACTTCTTTTGAGTTAAACTATTTCAAAATGAGATGTTATACTTTTTTTAAAAAAGATGTAAAGGGCACTTGGATTTAATTTTTCATTTACAATAAACTTTTTTCAAATTTGCAGCTTTTTGCAAAGGACAGCATTATATTATACACCTCTATTTTATCTACCTTGGCAAGACTTTGTGGACTTTTGAAGCAATTCGCCTAAGCACCTTTCCTTTCTAAAATAAAATTTAAATTTAGCTTTCATTGTCCACTAAATGTAATGTAAAATTTTACAACACTCAGATGCAAATACATTTCAGAGGGGTTGAATGTAAGGTAAGCCACTCATTCAGAGAAGTCACCCAAGATTTAGAAGCAGAAGTTCAGAACCTAGAACCTGCCTCCTTTGGGTAAGTGGAGGTGTTGTCTGCAGACCAGCTCAACCTAAACCTGGACAATGCAAGTAAACATTTATTGAGTGCTTATTGTGTGCCGGGCACAGTTTTAAGAGCCTTACTGGATTAACTCACTTAATCTTTACATCAACCCTGTTGCAGTTTAGTCACTAAGTTGTGTCTCTTTTGCGACCCCATGGACTGTAACCTGCCAGGTTCTTCTGTCCATGGGATTTCCTAGGCAAGAATACTGGAGTGGGCTGTCATTTCCTTCTCCAGGGGATCTTCCTGACCCAGGGATCGAACCGGAATCTCCTGCATTGGTAGGCAGATTCTTTACCACTGAGCCACCAGCAAAATGTCAACTCTACGAAGAAGGTATCAGTAGTTTTATAAGATTACACAGCCAGTGTGTGACAAGACTGAAATCTGAACCCTGGCCATCCAGCACGAGGTCTTCACCACCCTGCTACAGAAGCAGGCTGAGGCACAGGCCTGGCTTCAGACTGGGGTCACAACGTGTGGCCCCTTCCAAGTCCCTTACCAGACTTCACTGCATCCCTCTTTGCCTGGTGTCCCTGGAAACAGACTCTGAGACAGGAAGCTGCATGTGAGAGGTCTGCCGGGAGAGTGTTTTCAGGTCCAGCCTTGTGAGGTGGTGAGGAAGGCAGGGTTGGGTGGAGAGAAAAGCTGATCTACTGTGGGAAAGAAAGTGAGGCCTCGGAGCACTCTGAGGCTCCATGGGGAGCTCAAGTTGAGACCAAAGAGTTACTGTGGGTTAAACTGTGTTCCTACCAAGAAGATGAAGTTCCAGATTCCCAGGACCTGGAGTGAATGTGAACTTATTTGGAAAAAGGGTCTTTGCGCTCATCAAGCTGAGGTCATCAGGGTGGGCCCTCATCCATTAGGACTCTGTCCTTACAAAAGGAGAAGCATCCAGATGGAGGAAGCAGACCGGGCGGAGGGCAGCAGCCTACCCTGAGTCAAAGCAAGGCTGGCATGGTGTGGTAACAAAGAGCCAGGAGCGGGGGTGGCCTAAGGAGGATGAGTGTGGTGGGCAGGGGTAGTGAGAGACAAGGGCAGAAAGCTAACTGTGAAGAGGGGGTGAATATGTCAGTGAGGTGAGGACTTGATATTTACTCTGCTTGAGAGGGAGCAGAACAAAGATGCAATTTCTGTTTTAATGGAATCCCTGTGGCTATATGTGGGGGAAAGATGGTGGGGGCAAGAAGGCAATATCAGGGACACAGGGGAGACTATGATGACCTAGACCATGGGGAACAGGGCCCAGACCAGGGTATTCCTAGTTTCTTGAAACTGGAATGATCCAAGTGTCCATCAGTAGAGGAGTGGATAAACAAATGATGCCAACTCCATACAATGGACTACTGTACAGCCATAAAAAGGAATAAGCTATTGATAACTCAGTACCATGGATAAATCTCCAAACGGTCATGCTGAGTAAAAGAAGCCAGGCGGAAACAGAGCACCTGCTGTGTGAGGCCACTTGTATAAAAGATAAGGAAATGTAAACTAACCTATAGTGACAGGAAGGTGACCAGTGGACGCCTGGGGTGTTAGAGGCAAGGGGACCCACAGGGAAAGCAACGGGAGATTCAGGAGATATTCTGGAGGTAGCGCTAACAGGATTTGATGACCTACTGGATCGGGTAGTATGAGACAGAGAGGTGCTGGGGATGACTGCAAGGTATGGGAGGGTTGAGCACGGATGTACTGCGAACAGCGCAGAGTGGAGGTGGCAATGCTGAGTTCCCATGTGGGGCTTGAAGGGCTGGTGGGTCCTATGTGGTAACTTACAGGAAACAGCTGGAAAGATTGTTCTGGGTTCTCAGAAGGGAGGTGGGCAACAGAGGAGGATTTTTGGGAAACATGGAATGGCGGCCATGGTGTGTGCTAGTAAACTAGTCCCCTGAAAGAAAAAAGCCCTGATTTGTTCTGCTTGTCAGTTTCTGTGGAGTGCATATTCCCACCAATTTCAAGCTACTAATGGCTTCACAAGGAGCTGGCATTCCTGAATATTTAACAGCTCAACCAATCTGGTAGGAATTGGCTCCAGCAGCCATTATGAAGGGTTGGAGACGGTAACAATCCTGAGAATGAACATCTAGCAAGTACTAATTCTGTCCCAACTGTAACCCATCCTGGCCCCTTCAGTATTGACAACGCGCTCTCCTCTCAAAGGAGAAAATGGAGACAGTGGGGCTTTGCTCAAAGCCTCAGCCACCAAAGGCAAGTGGAAAGACTGGGATTCAGACCTAGCGGACAGATGCAGTGCTGCATGTATTCTGTTTTGCTTTTTGATTTATAATGTTGTTAGTTTTTGCTCTACAGCAAAAGTGAATCAGTTATACGTACACATATATTCACTCTTTTTTGATTCTTTTTCCACAAGGTCATTACAGAACAGAGTTCCCTGTGCTATACAGTAGGTCCTTATTATCTATTTTATATATATTAGTGTGAATATATCAATCCCAATCTCCCAATTCATCCCCCCCCTCCTACCCTCCTGGTAACTATAAGATTGCTTTTTACATCTGTGACTCTATTTCTGTTTTGTAAATAAGTTCATTTGTGTCACTTTTTAAGATTCCATATATAAGTGATATCATATGATATCTGTCTTTGACTTCACTCAGGAGAACAATCTCTGGTCCACCCATGTTGCTGCAAATAGCATTGTTTCATTCTTTTATGGTTGAGTAACATTCCATTGTATATATGTACCACCTTTTCTTTATCCATTCCTCTGTCAGTGAACATTTAGACTGCTTCCATGTCCTGGCTATTGTAAATAGTGCTGCAATGCACATTGGTGTGCATGTATCTTTTTGAATTAGAGTTTTCATCTTTTCCAAATAGATGTCCAAGAGTGAGACTGCTGGATCACATGATACTCTATTTTTAGTTAAGGAAACTTCATATTGTTCTCCATAATGGTTGCACCTATTTATATTTCCACCAACAGTGTAGGAGGGTTCCCTCTTCTCCACACGCTCTCCAACATTAACCATTTGTAGCTTTTTTGATGATGGCCATTCTCATGTGAGGTGACACCTTGCAGTTTTGTGTTTCTCTAATAGTTAGAGATGTTAAGGATCTTTTCATGTTCCTGTTGGCCATTTGTATGTATTCTTTGGAGGAATGTCTCTTTAGATCTTCCATCCATTTTTTGATGGGGGTTTGTTTTTTATACTGAGCTGCATGAGCTGTTTGTATATTTTGGAGATTAATCCCTTGTTGGTCTGTTTGCAAATATTTTTTCCCATTCCATGGGTCATATTTTTGTTCATGGTTTCCTTCCCTATGCAAATGTTTTAAAGTTTAATTAGGCCCCATTTGTTCTTGTTTTCATTTTCATTACTCTAGCAGGCGGGTCCAAAAAGATCTTGCTGTACTGTTCTACCTACATTTTCCTCTGAGAAGTTTATTGTGTCCTACCTGACATTTAGATCTTTAATCCACTTTGAGTTTATTTTTGTGTATAGTGTTAGGCTGCATAAGTGTTGATACTTCGATTGCTATGACCCAGAAGCTTCCTGAACTGAGCCACTCACTAGCCAGCAGGCACTATCCTAGGACTGTTACTTCTAACAAACCTAGGAGGTAGATTCCATCACAATTCCATTTTAGATAGGGAAACTGTGGGTAGAAGGAACAATAGCTTGTCTGATGGCTTATAGCCGGCTGATGATGAAGGCAGGACTTGTACCCAGGAAGGCTGGCTCCACAACTATGCCCTCGACCTCTGGGTTATGCCACCCACAGGCCAGGTTGCAGTCCCCACCCTTAATTCAGATCACTGAATCTTACTGAGAAGCTGAGCTCAGAGGTTTCGGAATAAGCAGTTTTATCATGCTCTTAGTCCAGTCCATATTATGTCACCAACATTTCCTCCCATTGTTCAGTTTATCTAAAAAGACCAGATTTTAGTGACTCAGGGATTGTTCTAGTTGGCACAATCAGGACAAGGGACACCTGACAAAAAAGGAATGGGGAGGCTGGGGAGACAGATACTAGCGGTTGCAGTGGGCATGGCTTGGGAGGTTGTGAGGTAGGGAAGCTCAAATGCTGCCCATGATCAGAGCCTCACATCAGCACCCCTCCAGTACACCACTGTACTCACTCAGGATTCCCAGCCAGGGGAGCCTGAGGGAATCTGTTTCCCTTTGGGTGGCCAAAAATGCAAGAGAGCTTAGGGGCTGTGAGTAGCTATGTTCTTGACTCCGTGGAAAAAGTGAAGCTGTAAGAAGGGAGAAGAATGAATGTAAGGTACAGAGGGAGGCAGATATGAAAGGGAGGAAAAAAAGTCCTGCAGAGGTTTGAGCTTCTGGTCTGGGTGTCCTTGAAACACAGCCCCACTCTTATCTTGGAATTCCCTTACAACAAATTTTCCTTTTTCCTTCCAGTGGGATTCTTGTCATGCAGCCCCAAAAGAAATTCAAGAGATACACTTGCCTTGACAGGCTGTATCCTGACTTTCTTCTCCATGAGAGAGTATTTTTGTGAAGACTAGGTTCAGCCGCACATAAAAGAAAAACCCAAAATCATATAACCTAAACAGGGCGGAAGCTTAATTTGTTTTTACACAAAGTCTGGAGGTAGGGCATCCAGGGCTAATGTGGCAGCTTCATAGTCACTAGTACCCCGGCTCCTTCAATATTATTGCTCTGTCATCTTCAGTATATAACTTGTGATCCAAGATGTCTGCTGGAGCTCCAGCCATCATATCCACATTCCAGTCAGTACTGTAAAGGACAAAGGGCTTAGAAAAATTCTTTAAGACCAACCCCGAGAAGGCCCACACAACACTTCTACTGGCACCTATTGGCTGACACTAATCAATAATCCAGACTTCCCATGAGACAACAACAATGAATGCTTACCTGTGACTCCCAAGAGCTGTAAATGGGGAGGGGCTCTGGTCTCTTGCCACCCCCAGGTGTCCCCTGGCCCACTGTCTGGACACCCATCCTACCAACGTCCCCTTTTAAAATACACACCTCCACCAACAGGAGGCGCCATTCACAAAGCATATCCAACAAAGTTATGCAAGGCAGTGGTATCCTGGTCCACATGCCAATGGGGTGGAAAGGGAACAGAAGAACTAGGTTGAGGGGGTCTATAAATTTTTTATGGCATACAAGTATTACAGTCATATTCATAACACAGTATTGGGAACCTTGTCGCTTTAAAAAAAAAATCACTTATCTAAGTAAGTATAGGCTGACACACAGTTTCTCCAATTATGAGGGGGAGGGAGAAAGATATACTGGAATTTAATTCTTTGAAAACAAAGTCATAAAAACACTAAGAAAGCTAACATGTTAATTTTATATTAAATATATAAATATATTCAGCTTATGCCTATGTAAGGGTCAAGTGAAGTGAAATCGCTCAGTCATTTCAGCTCAGACCCCATGGACTGTAGCCTACCACCCTCCTCCATCCATAGGATTTTCCAGCCAAGAGTACTGGAGTGGGTTGCCATTTTCTTCTCCAGAGGATCTTCCTGACCCAGGGATCGAACTGGGTCTCCGCATTGTCGGCAGACGCTTTACCGTCTGAGCCACCAGGGAAGTCCCTAGGCACCTCAAAACAAGGCTTGCACATGATGTTCTACACATATATTCTTGGGTATTTATTGAAAAAAATTTGCGTGTAAGTGGACCCATGCAGCTCAAAACTGTGTTATTCAAGGGTTAACTGTACTCAGCAGTAAAAAGGAATGAAGTACTGGGACAAGCAACCATGTGGCTGAATTTCAAAAACACGCTGAGTTAAATGACTGCTCAGAATGGACTCAAAAGAAGGCATTCAGTGTAATTCCCCTGATGAGAATGCTGAGAGACACAAATCCAGCTTTTTTCCCCTAAAAAAGGCCAATCAGTGGTTGCCTGGGATGGGGGGATTAACTGCAAAGAAGCACAAAGGAATCTTTTGGAGTCACAAAAATGTTTTGTATCGTGACTGTAGTGGTGGTTATGCGTGCGTGCTAAGTCGCCTCAGTCATGTCTGACTCTTTGTGACCCTGTGGACAGTGGCTCGCCAGGCTCCTCTGTCCAAGGGATCCTCCAGGCAAGAATATTGGAGGGGGTTGCCATGCTCTCTTTCAGAGGATCTTCCCAACTTAGGGATCAAACCTGTGTTTCTTATGTCTCCTGCATTGGCAGGCAGGTTCTTTACCACCAGCACCACCTGGGAAGCCCAGTGGTGGCTACATGGATTAAATACATCAAAATGTGCACTTGAAAAACAATCAAAGTATAGTTGATTTACAATGTTTTGTTAGTTTCAAGTGTAGAGCAAAATGATTTGAACCTCCACAGATTTTCAAAATCCCCCATGATCTGGTCCTACCATGCTTATGCACAGTTAGCAGCTATCAGTCTCACATAAACCATCTATTCAAAAATCTGGCTTCCTTACAGTCATCTTGACTTTCACATCTGTAATTTTGCTTTTTTTTTTTTTTTAACTTTACCTGGTACATCTTTCCCTAAAACTTCAAAGTCTGGTACATGGCGTGTCCTCTACAAACCTTCCCAGGCAGTCCCAGTTTATACTGACCTCTTTACAAACTCAATTGTTCCTGCATTAGAATCAGGGGTGGAGCTTCTGCCCACACCTGTGAGACACTGACTTAGTGGCTCTCACATGGAGCCTGAGTATCTTTATATGTTCACAGAGCTGTACTACTGACTCTGATATATACACAGGAATGCAAAGTACCTCTCTGGCATGTAATATACCTCCTGTACCAATCAATTAAGCATATGTTCAATATTGCCTTCATTGCCTGGGGGGCCCTGGGGGTACACAGACATAGCAGCGTCCTTATGTTCAGGTAGCACAGAGTGTAGCTGTGGTGTTCCCTCAAATAAATGTGATGGGAACTATGAAGGAGGTACGGGTCCAGTGCTTTGGGAGCAGAATGGTAAATGGTTACCAAGGGACCATGGAGGAAGTTCAGGTGGCCCTTGAAGAAGAGTTGGATTTTGTTGTTGTTTAGTCTCTAAGTCACGTTTGACTCTTTGTTGAACCCATGGTCTGTAGCCCGCTGGGCCCCACTGTCCATAGGATTTCCCAGGCAAGACTACTGGAGAGGACTGCCATTTCCTTCTCCAGGGGATCTTTCTGATCCAGAGATCCAACCCATGTTTTCTGCATTAGCAAGTGGATTCTTTACTACTGAGCCACCAGGGAAGCCCAGTTGGATTTTATCCACTCTCAAATAATAGGGCTATTTTAGCTGTAGCCACATATACAGTATACACCTCAAGATATTCTGGTGGAGACTATATGGAGGAAATGAGATTCAGAATGGAAATGCTGGTAGAGATTAGAACATGAAGAACATCAAATACCATTCCAAGAATGTCACCGTTTTCATCTGGACAACTGAAAATAATTTAAGGAAGAAACATCCAGCTTAGTTGTTGTTACTGTTTTCTGGCACGGATTCACATGATAGTAATCTCTTTGAGTATGGTGCCCATTCACTTCTATTAAAACTGTGTCAAAAAATAAAAAAAATTTTTGAAAAGGGACCTCCCTGGTGGTCCAGTGGTTAAGGCTGTGAGCTTCAAGGGACCATGGAGGAAGTTCAGGTGGCCCTTGAAGAAGAGTTGGATTTTGTTGTTGTTTAGTCTCTAAGTCACGTTTGACTCTTTGTTGAACCCATGGTCTGTAGCCCGCTGGGCCCCACTGTCCATAGGATTTCCCAGGCAAGACTACTGGAGAGGACTGCCATTTCCTTCTCCAGGGGATCTTTCTGATCCAGAGATCCAACCCATGTTTTCTGCATTAGCAAGTGGATTCTTTACTACTGAGCCACCAGGGAAGCCCAGTTGGATTTTATCCACTCTCAAATAATAGGGCTATTTTAGCTGTAGCCACATATACAGTATACACCTCAAGATATTCTGGTGGAGACTATATGGAGGAAATGAGATTCAGAATGGAAATGCTGGTAGAGATTAGAACATGAAGAACATCAAATACCATGCCAAAAATGTCACCGTTTTCATCTGGACAACTGAAAATAATTTAAGGAAGAAACATCCAACTTAGTTGTTGTTACTGTTTTCTGGCATGGATTCACATGATAGTAATCTCTTTGAGTATGGTGCCCATTCACTTCTATTAAAACTGTGTCAAAAAATAAAAAAAATTTTTGAAAAGGGACCTCCCTGGTGGTCCAGTGGTTAAGGCTGTGAGCTTCCAATTCAGGGGCATGGGTTAGATCTCTGGTTGGGGAACTAAGATCCCACATGCCTTGCTGCACAGCCAGAAGCTAAAAAAAAAATAGACATAGAAATAACAAAAATAGTAAAAATTTTTAAAAATTAAAAAAAGGTGTCATGACAATCGTTTTGTGTAAGAAATACCAAATCCGAGTCTCTCTAAATGTATAAGAATACTACATTCTCATCTAGTTTTTCTTTCACTAATAATTCATAATACCCAAGTTTCAAGTTATAATTTTCAATGATTCTTAAAGTGATATATCTTAACTACATCTAGCTTCAGTTATAATTACTAACAAATCCAAATCCACCAGAATGATGACCACCTGAAACTAATTTTACGTACATGGTAGCAAACAGATGAAAATAATTATCCTGTCTGCTTTTTGTTATTATTTACAATTTTTGCCCATAGCCCTTAGCCTGCCACACCCTGCAGCATGTAGGACCTTATTTCCCTGGACCAGGGATCAAAAACCATACCCCCTGCAGTGGTAGGTGGAGTTATAACCACTGGACTACCAGGGAAGTCTTTGTCTTTCTGCTTTTTAAGGTAACTCCTAGAAATTTAAAAAAATATATCTGTGGCATGCAATATACTTCCATTGTTCAGTGCTACTTGAGACTGCAATGCTACCCACGTCCCAAGGATTGGTACATGGCTCAGTTCAGCTTAAGTCTACATGTAAAAGAGACTGATTTTAAATCGTTGAGGGGGCAGGGGGAGTTTGATAAGCCTTAGGAAATACTGAAATAGTAATAGGTAGCATTTAAACAGACCGTACCATGTGCCAAGCACAGGTGCTTATCTATTATCTCACTGAATCCGATGAATCCACGTGGTTTCCGTGAAGGAGCGTACCTACTGCTGTGTAACAAATTACTCCAAAAACTCATGGCTTAAAAAAAACAATGCAAAAAACTTTTTAAGCACAGCTTCTGTGGGTCAGGAATTTAGGAGCGGCTTACCTGGGTAGTTCTGGCTAAGAGTGTCTCTCATGAGATGGGAGACATAATCGGTCAAGATAAGCAAAAGTAGCAGTCAACTAAAGGTTAAAAGATCTTTCTAGATGGTTCATTCCCTTGGCTGTTGGCTGAAGGCCCCAGGTCTCCACCAGGCGTAATTCTCCTGAGGGCTGCTTTGAAGTGTGAGGGAATGCAGAGGGAGGAGCCTGAGACTGGAACTGGTGAAAGGGAAGCCTGTAAATGGGGCTTGGTGAGGTGGCTACGTGCCTCAAATGTAGCAGGTGTGGGAGACTAGTGGAAGCTGGTGGGGTACCTCCCAGTAGCATCCATTCCTCCCTCTCTCCCTCGCTTGAAGTGCCCCACAGCTGTAAAATGGCCACCGTGCCCCCTGCCCTCTGTGGGGAACTAAGCACAGGAACCTGCCAAAATAAAAAGAGTCCTGATTGGTTAATGGCTGAGCCAATCATGATGCTTCTATCACCAGCAATAGGCACGTGACCTGGTTCTGACCAATACCAAGTGAGATGACGTCTTCTGCAGGGGGGTGCGGCGGATGGGAAAGATTTTATTCTGTCTTAAAGAGAGCTAGTTACCGGGTCGTTTTTTCTGCCTTTGGAAGTTGTTGGCCCACGTAGTGACTATCCCGGACTGTGAAGGGATTTGGTTTCAGAGTTCAACCTGCTGAGAGTAGTGAAGGGAGATGCAGAACTTGGGTCTTTGGTGTTATCACTGAGATAACACCGCTGGGTTAACCAACCCAGAACTGCCGTATCCTTGGAATTCCTGCTACATAGGATAATACATGTCAGTATTTTGAGTTGGGTTATCCTTTTTTTTTTTTGCAACCAAAAGCAACCAAGCTGATATTTTGGAGGCTGATTTTCTCACCTGATCATAGTCCCCACTCAGTTAAGCATGATATGAGGTGAGGTGCAGAGACACAGGCAGCAAGAAGGCAGGTCTATTAAAGGGTTTTTAAATGTGAGCTGAACACTAAGGAGAAGAGCCCCACCAACCCACATAAGACTTGAAGACTGGACTTGTCACCACTGTGGACTTCTTAACTTTGCAAGAAAATAACAGTTTTTCAAATGCAGCTCTCTGAGAAGTGAGGCGATTGTGCGAGGTAGATTTTTTTCCCCCAATATTTGGGATAGCGGAATGTCACCATTAACTTCCAAATGGTATACAGCTTAAAAGTGACAGGTTATTTATGGGACTTCCCTGGTGTCCAGTGGCTAGACTCTGCGTTCCCAGTGCAAGGGGCTCAGGTTTGATCCCTGGTCAGAGAACTAGATCCCACATGCCAAAACTAAAGATCCAGCATGCCTCAATGAAGATTGTAGATCCTGTGTGCTGCAACTAAGACCTGGTACAGCCAAACAAATTTTAAAAAGAGACAGAGTATCGCCTTCATAGTCAAAACATTAAAAATAAAAAGTGACAGAACCTGAGTCCAAAAGACTGGCTCGGGTTCACAGCCATCCTGATAGAGCTCAAACTACAATTTTTACTTTTCTCTCCAACTTCTTCATTTTAATAGATGCAAACTGTTGCATGCCTCATGTTCTCTTTGTTAATAATCATATTAATCCCATTTGCCTTTACACTGTAAGTTTTGACCATATTGAGACTGCTTCTTTGTTTTCTTAACACTAAAAAAAAAAAAAAAGTGTGATTGCAAGACTTTGCCTTGAAACTCTAGGCTGTTTTAACTGGTAACAGAAATCTCAGCAACAATCTCTCTTCTGAAAAGCAGAGACTTTGGCTCGTGAAATCCTCTTTGTCCATGTATTTTGAATAAAGGAGTCTTATAAGAAACCCAGACTTCAAAAGCTGATGTTGCTTCATTTGAAAGCCCCCATTAACCTGCTGAATTAGTTTGCTAGGGCTGCCTTAATAAAATACTACAAGCTAGGTGGCTTAAATCGAATCAGTCAATCCTGAAGGAAAAGCTCTGGAAGTGAAAGTCACTCAGTTGTGTCCAACTCTTTGCGATCCCATGAACTATACAGTCCATGGAATTTGCCAGGCCAGAATTCTGGAGTAGGCTTTCCCTTCCCCTTCTTTTGGGAAGGGGATAGGGGATCTTCCCAACCCAGGGATTGAACCCAGATCTCCCACATTACCAGCTGAGCCACAAGGGAAGCCCAAGAATACTGGAGCGGGTAGCCTATCCCTTCTCCAGTGGACCTTCCCAACCCAGTGGACCTTCCCAACCCTCCTGCATTGCAGGCAGATTCTTTACCAACTGAGCTACCAGGGAAGCCCCCGGAGGAAATCAACCCTGAATATTCATTGAAAGGACTGATACTGAAGCTGAAGCTCCAATACTTTGGCTACCTAATTCGAAGAGCCAACTCACTGGAAAAGACCCTGGTGCTGAGAAAGACTGAAGGCAAAACAAGAAGGGGGTGGCAGAGGATGAGATGGTTAGATAGCATCACCGACTCAATGGACATGAATTTAAGTAAACTCCAGGAGATAGTAAAGGACAGGGAAGCCTGATGTGCTGCAGTCCAACTCTGGGGTCACAGAGTTAGACATGACTTCAGGACTGAACAACAATAATGAGATGGCTTAAGCAACAGAAAAAATTTTCTCATACTTCCAGCAGTCCAAGATCAAGGTGCTAGCAGATTTGGTTTCTCCTAAGATCTCTCTTTTTGGCTTGCAGATGGGTGACATCTTACTGTGTCCTCAGATGATCTTTTCCCTGTATGCATGCTCATCCCTGGTATCTTTTCTTATGAGTCACTGGACATGTTGGATTAGGGCTCCATTATTATAACCTCATTAAGCTTAATTACCTCTTTAAAGAACTTTCTCCAATACAGTCCCATGGGGGTTTAGGGCTTCAACATATAGATTTTGGGGGACATAATTTAGTTGCTAATACCTCCCAATCTGGACTAGTTGTTTTAATAATAATCTGTTTCCCCTGGTAATAATAGCTACATTGATACTCCCTTTTCCTGAAAGGTACCAAGATCAGTTTTCATTGCTGTTTCTCTCTTCTTCTACCCTTGTGGAGCTAAGAAGAACACTCATGACTCTGCTAGATCCTTTATTTAAACAAAGTGTGTCATTTAAATTAATATTTACCTCCTATTGTTATGGGCCATGACTTAAAAGAAGGTGAGAAAATTGCTTTCACTTAGGAGATAATATTGCACTTGTATTTTCTACATGTTGGGAAGGTAGATGATCTGGTGGTATGACATTCTTGTGTATATGATTTGACTTAAGAGTGGATTGATTTTTTAAATAAATTTATTTATTTATTTTTGGCTATGCTGGGTCTTCATTGCTGCATACAGGCTTTCTCTAGCTGCAGCAAGCAGGAGCTACTCTCTAGTTGCAATGCATGGGCTTCTCATTGTGTTGGTTTCTCTTGTTGCAGAGCATGGACTCTAGAGCACAAGTTCAGTAGTTGTGGGGCAAGCAGTTAGTTACCCCTTGGCATATTGGATCTTCCCAGACCAAGGATTGAACCCATATCCCCTGAATTGGCAGGCAGGTTCTTAACCACTAGACCACCAAGGAAGCCCTGGATTAATTTAAATTGGCTGAAAGGGACAGATCCACACCTACTGATATTACAGGTTTAGTTCCAGGCCATTACAATAAAGTGAATATCACAATAAAGCAAGTCACAGGAATTTCTTTGTTTCCCAGTTCAGATAAAAGTTAGACTGGAGTCTAAAGAATAGACTGGAGTCTGTTAAGGGTGCAACAGCATTATGTCTAAAAAAATGCACATACCTTAATTTAAAAATACTTTATTGCTAAAAAACACTAACCATCATCTGAGCCTTCAGCCAGTTGCAGTAACATCAAAGATCACCGATCAAGCCCACTATAACAAATAGTGTAATAATGAGAAAGTTTGAGAAATTGTGAGAATTACCAAAATCTGACACAGAGACATGAAGTGAATAAATGTTGTTGGGAAAATGGCACCAATCACTTTGCTCAGCATATGGTTGCCACAAATCTTCAGTTTGTATAAAACATAATCTCTGCGAAGCACAGTGAAACTAGTAGGTCTGTACTGGCCTTACGTGTTGAATTCATACTTGCTGAATTCACAAAGAGTCTCCCAAAACACACAAAGTCAGTCACTGGTGGTGCCTTAGAATAAACACCAGTCTGTCCATGACTGGCTTTACAAAAATCCATAGCAGAAGCATCATGAGCAAAGCTTCCATTTCACTTTCATTTTCCAAGTCTCATTCAAGTATGTCAGATTGGTAGAAGTCTGGCTTCAAGGGAAGTAAGGAAATATAGCTTCCCACCCTCTGTGGTACTGGAAGGTATTCTAGAAGGGGAAGGTCTCAGATCGTGAGCAAAGAAACGCAACAATCTAAAACCCCTGGGACATTTTCTCTTCAGCTTCCTACATCCAGGGGGAACTCCACCACTGATCTTTCTCCTGCATAAGTAAGGCCTGCTTTCCAGAAGAAAGTCCAGATAACCTCTGGTTTCTTTACACCCATTTTTCTACCAGTAGCTGTGTGGAGATTGAAGATCTCAGTGAATATCACCCCTTGTCCTGGTCTGCAGGTAGTAATAATTGAGACAGAGAAAGAGATGCAGGGGTGAGTAAGAGGGAGGATAACATGATGGTTTTATTACCTGAACTATAAGCAATAGCAGGGAACATGGCCGAGTCCTGTGGCCCAGTTGGTTTACCATCACCTTCCCCTCCTTTCTGCTGCCCCAAACTGAACAGCTTAAAATTTGGCTGCGTATGACATATTCAAAATAACGATAGCTTGCATTACACAGAAATGTCATTTCTCTCTCCTGCCACAGCCCAAGCTGGTGTGCAGCTCTGCTCTGTGAAGGTGCCAAGGGTTCTTTGATACTATGACCCTTGTCCCCTTGACCCAGGATGCCAGCTCACGATGTCCCCACTCTAGCCTGAAGAAAGGGAAAATGAGAAAGGGAGGCCCTCTTCCTTTAAGTTCAGTTCAATCACTCAGTTGTGTCCAACTCTTTGTGACCCCATGAACCGCAGCATGCCAGGCCTCCCTGTCCATCACCATCTCCCAGAGTCCACCCAAACCCATGTCCATTGAGTCGATGATGCCATCCAACCATCTCATCCTCTGTCGTCCCCTTCTCCTCCTGCCCTCAATCTTTCCCAGCATCAGGGTCTTTTCAAATGAGTCAGCTCTTCGCATCAGGTGGCCAAAGTATTGGAGTTTCAGCTTCAACATCAGTCCTTCCAATGAACACCCAGGACTGATCTCCTTTAGGATGGACTGGTTGGATCTCCTTGCAGTCCAAGGGACTCTCAAGAGTCTTCTCCAACACCACAGTTCAAAAGCATCAATTCTTCAGTGCTCAGCTTTCTTTATGGTCCAGTTCTCACATCCAT